TTAGAAAAACCGCATTAAAATCCGTTGCGTAGTTTCAAAGATCTAAGCATACATAGGGACAGACAGTGGGGGAAATGCGTTGCATGATTTCGTTACATAGCATCTTGCATAAAAGGGACTTACACTACCATGCGTAAAGAAGTTTCAGTACAAAAAGTAGTCACTTCTATGTTCGCGAACGGTTAATTTAGAAATTCGAAAAAGTTGTATGGCCGGGGCCAGGCACTGCACGTATGCGAAAAGAAAAGAGGTTAGAAGCGTTCGAAATGTGATGTTACAGACGAGGGGGTTCTTAAAACATCGAAAACTAACATTTTTCCACTCGAGATTAAAAAAAAAAATAGTCGGTTTTTTGCGCCACCCTAATAAGTATAGGTTTTTTTTTAATTCAACAACACATTTATATTATTCAGTTTTGCTTTTTTTGTATAACCAAACCGATTCAAAAAATTTAAAAGAAAAATAAGGTTCATAAATCTTAAAAAACCGAATGTACAACTGTATACACCCTGTGTACTTCTATATGGCAATAATAACGATGTCGTAGTCTAGTATTTTTTCTAAAAATACGATTTGACATAAACACCAGAAATAATGAATTACCCAAACCCATTTGTTTCCATTATTACATACAACAATGTATTAAACGCGATGCTTACTTGTCAAAACAAGAAGAAAAAAAAAGAGAAAAACGAGACGACGAGCATTCTGTATTATGAACGAACATACGACAGTAATTCGACGATTTAGTATAATTAGCAAATCTGTCAGTATTATAAATATTTCGGTTACGCAATCGTCACCAAGAAGATCGCGGCCAGGCCTGATGTCACTGAAATTATTATTTTGTGGGTGAACGTGATCGTGTATCTTCTTATTCATTGCATTGTGGGAAGATTGTTTTCGATACGAAAGAGTCCATCCGGTTCATCAGCAAATTGGACATAGCCGGCCTTTTTATATTCAATAAGCGTGAGCCTAACTAATTTGGGTCAACTCGGCACCGCTGTTAGATTATTATTATTATTGTTGTCGTAGAAAAGGTATGGATGAAGTAAGTGGGTGGAAGACGTTAGCCTGTCCTATTATATTGTACGTATATCGCGGTCGGATTATTTAAAACCGAAAGGATCTAAATTGATTTTTACACGCGAGATTGAAAGCGCCTACCTGTGACATGACTGACACTTTGATTATTGGGTGGAGACGTGATGAGGAAGGCATCAGCAGATTCACGGCGAAAGCGAAAAAAAAAAGTATGAAGGCGTAAAAAAATTGGTGTCTACCTCGTTTTGTATTTTATAAGATTAAGGGTCGTTTCACACGGAGCGGATTCCGCGCGTATCAATGCGATCAAGAATTTCCGTAAAGGCACGTTTGATGAACTCCTTATTTGCCCAAAAACGTTAGAAAATATTTCTACGGTTTTTTCTCCCTAATACAAAGAGCGAATATAAAGATAGGAGACAAAATATTAGGAAAGAAGTGGCTGATTTTAGGTATCTAGGAAGTCAGATAAGTAAGTCAGGACGGAAGGAGCAGCAGGAATATGAAGCAGAAGATAGCACAATAAAAAAAAGTCACTTATGCTCGCGAACGATTAATTAGAAATTCGAAAAAGGTTGTTAAATGTGTACGTTTGGAACGTGGCATTATACGGGTGCGAAAGATAGACCGTGAGCGCGAAAACGAAAAAGTTAGAAGCGTTCGAAATGTGGTGTTACCGGCGAATGATGAGGATACCATGGATAGAGAAGATAGGAAAACAGAGGACTCTATGGAAGTCAATAAAAAATAGGCGAGATAGGTTGGTAGGACACCTTTGTCAGGCATGAAGGTCTAGTCAGAGACATATTAGAGGCAGAAACAGGAGTTAGGAGGGGTAGAGGTAGACCTAGATTAGATTACTGTTCGCAAATAGTTAAGGATGTGGG